ACGACCTCCAAATGCCTCGAATCTAGCCACAAACAATTCGATACAATCAACACAAGCTAAAGGAATCAATTCCATAAGAAGATACTAAGCTCTTAATCAAAAGTCAAAAAGTCAACTTAAAAGTCGGCCCCCGGGACCACGTCACAGAATCGGGTAAAAGTCACAAAATCTGAACACCCAATCAACCACGAGCCCACCCAGTACCAAAATTACTCAAATCTAATACCAAAATCCCGATCAAAACCCCAAAATTTGGCCTAAGCACTTTCTTCTATTTTTCCCAATTTTCCACCCCAAATCTCTAATTTAATGATGAAATCAAAGACATAATCATGGAATTTAACCAAAACTAGGTAGGAATCACTTACCCCAATCACCCACATGAAAATCTGCCCAAGAATCGCCTCCCACCGAGCTCCCAAATTAATTTTTGTGTTATGAACTCAAACCCTCGTTTTGAATTATTTAAAGTTTTGCCCTGTGATCCTTAATCGCGATCGCGAAGCACAAAACAGTCTGACCCTCTAACTTACCTTACGCGAACGCGGAGACCTCCACGTGAATGCGTACCACAACTTCCTCCAACCTACGCGATCGCATCTCACCTCACGCGATCACGAAGCAAAAACGTGTGACACCCAGTTGCCTCCTCACCTCTTCGCGAACGCGGCAATGCCCACACGTTCGTGATGCACTGCCTAGCCAAACCTACATGAACCCGTACTACCCCTCGCGAACAAATAGGGCAAAAATCACCACTGCCCCAAAAAATCCTGCGAATCGCGGACCTGTCCACGCGATCGCGTATAAGGAAACCAGATACAGATACCAGAAAATCTTCAGCCATAACACCAAGTCCAAAATTGATCCGTTAACCATCCGAAACTTACCCGAGGCCCCCGAGACCTCAACAAAACATACCATCAAGTCCCAAAACATCATACGCACTTCGTCGAATCCTCAAATCACATCAAACAATATCAACAACATGAATCGCACCCCAATTCAAGCCTAATGGAACTAAGAAAATTTAAATTTTACAAACGATGCTGAAACCTACCAAATCACATCCGATAGACCTCAAATTTTATACACAAGTCACAAAAGACACCACATAACTACTCTAACTCCCGGAACTCCAATCCGAGCCCGGTATCCACAAAGTCCACTTTCCGTCAAACTTCCAAATTTTCAACTTTCACCATTTCAAGCCTAATTCAACTATGGAACTCCAAATCACAATCCCGACACGCTCCTAAGTCCAAAATCTTCCAACGGAGCTAACAGAACCATCAAAACTCCATTCCTAAGTCATTTACATATAAGTCAATATCCAGTCAACCATTTAAACTTAAGGTTTCTACCTTGAGACTAAGTGTCTCAATTCCTTTTGAAATCCATCCGAACACGAACCGACTACCCCGACAAGTCACATAACAATTGTAAAGCATAGAATGAGAAGTAAATGGGGGAATGGGACTATAACTCTCAAAACGACCGGTCGGGTTGTTATACAAATGATCAACGTGAACATAATACGTAGGTAATGGCTCAAGAAGAGCCCCGATACATAAAAAATTATAAGACCTCAGGGGAGGTCCAGGTACCTGAAAATAATGAGAATGAATATAAACCGATAAGTTATGTCTCTACGGGAAAAAGGTAAAACTAAAATGAAATTATTGTTGACAATATTTTTACGTATAATGTTACTGTTGAAATAATAAAACAAGATAAGGATCTTGAACCAAAATCTGTCATTAAATATAGTCAGAGAAATAATTTACCAAAATAGAAAGACGCTATCCAAGCAGAATTAACTTCACTTGAAAAACGTGAAGTCTTCGGACTTATAGTCCGAACACCTGAAGGTATAAAGTCAGCGGGTTACAAATGGGTTTTGTGCAAAAAAAATGATAAAAATAAAGTCGTTAGATATAAGCACGACTTGTGGTACAAGATTTTTCGCAAAGGCCTGGTATTGATTATATGGAGAAATATTCTCATGTGGTGGATGCTATCACCTTCAGGTATCTTATAAATATGGCAGTGCATGAAAAGCTTGATATGCATCTAATGGATGTTGTCACAACCTATTTGTATGGCTCACTAGACAACGAAATTTTTATGAAAATTCTTGAAGGATTTAAAGTGCCTGAAGAATATAAAAGTTTTCGAGAAACTTGTTCAATAAAGCTTTAGAGGTCCTTATACGGATTGAAACAATCAGGGCACATGTAGTATAATCGCCTGAGTGAGTACCTATTGTAAGAAGGGTACAACAATGATCCAATTTGCCCTTGTGTCCTTATAAAAGGGCTGGATCTGAATTTGTTATAATCATTGTGTATGGCGTTCAATGAAACAAACTATGGTTGCTACTTCTTCAAATCATGTAGAGATAATAGCCATTCACGAAGCAAGTCGAGAAGTGTTTGGTTGAGATCAATAACTCAACATATTCAGGAACCATGTGGTCTTTCTTTGTAAGAAAATATTTCAACAATATTGTATGAAGACAATATTGCATGTACAGCTCAACTGAAAGGAGGATACATTAAATGAGACAGAACAAAACATATTTCACCAAAATTCTTCTTCACTCATGATCTTCAAAAGACTGGTGAAATAGATGTTCAACATGTTCATTCAAGTGATAATTTGGCGGATCTGTTTACTAAGGCAATGTCAACCTCAACATTTGAGAAGTTAATATACAAGATAGAAATGCGGCATCTCCGAGACCTTAAGTGCTATTTTAATCAGGGGGAGTAAAAGTACACGCTGTACTTTTTTTTCGTTAACTAAGATTTTGTCCCATTGGATTTTCCTAGTAAGATTTTTAATGAGACATCAAATAATGCGTATTACAAATAACTATGTACTTCCCAGGTTTTTTCTATTAAGCTCTTAATGATGCATATTTTTTTTACATGGTCATCCAAGAGGAAGTGTTGTAAATAGTATGTGGATGAATGTCCATATGTGAATAGTTTGTGGATGGATTTCCATACTTTATGTCCATCTTTATTTTACTATAGTAGTCTTCACCTTTTATGCCTATAAAAGGCTATGTTAATGGCAGTGGAAAGACATGCTAGAAGAAGTGAAAAACTCCTTCGTTCTATCTCTGTTTCTTGCTTATATTTTACTAAATTACTTTTATTTCATAACAAAAAGGAGCTTTTGGCAGCAAAGCTAGGGCCGGAGCTAGCATAGGATTTGCACGTTCGGCCGAACCCAGTAATTTTGGTGCAAACCCTCTATTTATCTTTAAAAATCCATTGAATATGTATAAATTGTTAATTTAGAACCCAGTAACATAAACGAACTAGAATCTCGAACCTACAAGCTCCAAATCCTGGCTCCGCCTCTGAGCACAACACTGCTCCCTCCAGTCCATAATAAGTGACTTTTGTCCTTTAACACACCCCTTAAGAAAAAGTAACTCCTAGAGAAAAAAAGGTATTTTGACTACATTACTTAGTTAAATTTGTATAATATTAACTTGACACATTGGGATATGTAAATAAGGGCAAATTTTGAAAAAATAAAGTTAATTCCTTCTTGATTATGTAAAAGGACACGTATTTTAAATCAAAATTAAAAGGCAAAAAAGTCACTTATTATGGGCCGGAGAAGTAGTATTTTGATGAATGCAACCATCAAATAATATCTTTGATACTAAAACAAATGTTATGCTAACTTGATTCACCTTTAATGGGTTTTTCTTATGTAAAAAATTAAGTTAGACTATATAAATAAAACAAAAACCCATATAAATTGAAAATAAATAACTATACTTTTACATGTTTTCTTTTTTTTTTTTTAATTTTTTTTAAAAAAAGAAAAAAAGAAATTGTGGCCGTGTGATCTTAAACACAGCATAAAAACGTGTTTGCCGTTTTACTGCATTACACTAGCAATAAATGTATTTGATTAAGTTAAAAGCTCGACACTTTTTAGAAGACAGAATCTAAGTAATGTGGCTTTAGAATATTCATATGAACAAGATAGATTCCACTCTCTTTATCACGTATTTTTATCTATTGTTCCTTTGGGCATACATGGTCAAAGTTGAAATGACATGACTTTCTTTCAAGATAAGCATGCTCGTATTAAGATTATTCAAACGGATTTAGAATTTCTGATTAGCAAGTACAGAATTTAAGTATAAAGTATTATAGATCTACTATTCACAACGTGAAGGTAACTTTGTATAAATGTATATATTTTTATGACTTTACATCTATATATCATTTAGGCATGTTGCACCCACAATAGCAAATGGTACATTCATGGAAGAAATTCAGTGATTTGAGTTAGCAATCTACTGAACCATAATTAAGATCCGAAAACCATAGTAAGAGTAACACATGATTTGCGAGTAAAAAAGAAAGAAATATCAAGAGAATGGTTAGCATAAATAGCAGAGTAGATAGTGATAATTTTGTTTTTTATTGCATTAAATAGCAATAATTACACCATGTAGAGATATGCATCGCGGCAAAATATCATCCACAGAGTTGACTTATCCATAAGTCACGAGGACTAAATAAAACCCCTCGTTACAAAAGAGACATTCACCTTATGTCTTGGATTTAGAGAATCAATGCTTCTGAAATATTCCAATAGATCTTTTGGAATAATAAAAAAAAATTAGGAATAGCTGATTCTAGATCAATATCCTTATTAAAGGATCATTTCTGTTGTAGAAAAATGTGTGTTATGCATTTATCATAAAATTAGAAATGCTCTCGATTTGTGAAGAACCTATTAATTCTTATGGAGAAGAACGATTAAGTAGCAACCTCGTAAGTTGTACCTTCATATTTCTCTTGTCCTTTCAGACTTCAGTTTAAAAAATTTCCAGAATTCTAATCCTCTAGTGTCAGATTATGTTTATTTTTATGAAAATGGAAACAAATAAAATGATGTCTATTGTATGTATAAGAACCTACTAACGTTGGAAAGTTTTGAAATTGGAAATAGCCACGTGCTTAACACTGAACATTTTCACTTGCTTCTGTCTATTAGGTCTATATGATAACATTTATAATGTCAAGCTTCTCTGTGAAACTTGCCTCTGATCAATTACACCTCTTCGACTTGACAAGCAGTAACTGATGACAAAAGTCTCACGTTGTGCATAACTAATCATGGTATGTAAATTCTTAAGATGCTATAAAGCTTAGGAAATTTACAATAGTTGATGGCTGGACCACTAAAGTAGTTTGTATACATTCTATAAGTGATGAGGAAATAAAACTGAAAGGCACCCTACAGAGCCATTGGATATGTGATTTGCCTATATGTTGCCTCTATTTGTCATCAAAGGCCAGCAGTCCGCACACAAGGCTGAGTTATATCAACACCAGCCATTGGCCTCCAAAATCTTGAGTTGAGACGCCTCCAACATAACCACCAGAAGATCTGCAAAATGTGCAGTTTGGTTGAGACGCCTTTCTGCAGCTCCTGAGCATTAAAAACGATACCTGATTCATGATAGAACTTATCAGAACCTAAATCACGAATGTCCCCAGTCTCACGAAGGGCCTTGCCAATTGTCACCACTTAGTATTACACCTCGCGAAGCCTCTTAGCATTTTCTACTGTTTCAATGTAGAAATACAATCTCCACAGTGTTGCTTTGTCCTACAATAACCCATTGGGAACTCAGGAAAACTGGTCACGTAGAAAAACTAAGCACATAATTAGACTTATATTTACCTCTTTTTCTAGATCAACATGCACCTCACTGCAAGAATGTTGCTCTACTTGCTTACCACGGCATAAAATCTCGACAACGCGATCAAGATTCCTAGGTGGGAGGTCCCGTATCAGCCGCCGAAGGTGTTGTTTCTCAGGTAAAGTCATTAACCTGCCAAGGGCAATCAGATTCCCCATACCAAAAGTTAAGGACAGATCTGACAAGCAACAAGCCACATCGAGAGCTCATGTAATAAACAATACCTAATTAATTAATTAACCAATTCTTCATCAAGGCCAAATTAATAAGGATCTGTCATATGGAAATTCTATAATCATTCTACCCTATTTGAGGCCCTTCCAAAAGAACGGAGGATTTAAACACTACACCGCCGCAGGATCAAAATACAGACACCCCGTAGGATCAAAATACAGACCTTCAATTTACAAGACTGTTGCTCTACCACTGAACTATAGGGCAAAAGACATCTACCAGATATTCTACTACTGTCTTCTAAAGGGAATTCCACATCAGTCAAGTTTCTAATTCCGTCATGCTTCTTCTGGACACAAATTTAACATGGCTTCAAGGGTGTGCAAGGAATTTACACCAAACAACTAACAGGACATTACAGCACATCTAATTTAACGAGGCCAAATACGACAAAATCAGATATATTCAGGCACTCACGCACGTGTAACATTATACACGAACACGCACACTTCGTTTTCACACACTGTCAGTCACTGAAAACCAATAAAACACTTCTCAAACTTTTGCTTTTATCTTTCAGAAGTATAGCAGAATTCTTTATCATAAAGAATACACCCCAGAAATAGAAAAGAATAAATTGGATACTGCCACAGTATTTATTTATGAGAAAACATTACTTTTGTTTGATAATGGTTATGAGAAAAACACAACTTCCAATCTCATTAATTCTACCCATACCCTAAATTGTAAAGAAAGAATAGACCTTACTACTCAATTTAGACAAAGTACAAACTTCTCATACCTTTCACCCGGATATTTTAGACTCTTTCTTAGTCTTAAAGGCTACGTTGAAGGAGTTCAACGTTGTTAGAGAACAGATACTATAATCTATTAAGTATGAAATGGATCAAAAATGTCATATGTGTCCTTTGATAGTTGTTACAAATTTTTAACAGAATAAAACGATACAAAAGTTAAGGGCAAGAAGAAGTAAATTCATGCCCCTTGCTTTTGAAAACTGTCTTGCATCCACACATCAACAACAACAACAACCCAGTAAAATCCCACAAGTGGGGTCTGGGGAGGGTAGAATGTACAACTGAAATAGTGGTCAACTAAGGGAAAACTCAAAAGTTAGGTCTCCTTTCGATTAGAATATACCTAATATGTGAAACCAAGATTGGGTTCGGAATGTTGATAAAATACCACACAGGAACAATTAATTCGCTAGTAGAACATGCTTAAATCGGACATTAGCAATATCTTCAAACTGTTACATACTATCTCCATTTTCAATCTTTTTTCATAGTAGTCCTTCCCGAGAAAGAAGACCACTCTCTCCTGAAATGGCACAATTACCATATTGAAAAAGCCAAATTATTAACATGTAATGGCACAATCTTCCAACTTTTGTTTTAACATATCCCTGTGGAAATCATCATTTGGGAGCTATGGAGGTCTAGGTGCAACTCTAGATTTGATATGGAAAAACCATCTTTTCACAGATCCAAAGAGATGATTACTTTCAACATGAAGGTCTAGGCGCAGCTCTAGATTTGATATGGAAAAACCAGCTTTTCACAGATCCAAAAAGATGATTACTTTCAACATCACTCAGCTTATCAAATCTGATTTCAAGAAGATCAACTTTGGAAACAATTGGGAAGATGTATGTAACATGTATGAAGTCCAGGTGGTGATAAACTGCTTTATTGTGGTGATAAACTGCTTTATTACGGTGAAATGGCTCAAACACCACCTCTCTTTGTGAAGCTGAACAGTGATGATCTTGTCTAGATGGCAACTGTGGAGGAGGAGGTATAGTGAGAGGGAGTGATGGCTGTCTCATAATGGCATATTCATTGCCATTGGGACAGGGCACCAGTAAGACTGCAGAAGCTAGTGCATTGCTCTATGGCCTCAAATGGTGCATCAACAATGGCTTTAACTCGATCATAGGAGAAACTGACTCACTCATCCTTCAGAACTCAATGATTGGAGAATAGGATACACCTTGGAGAATCAGTGATACATTAGAAGAGATAAAATTGTTGGGAACTCATGATATTAGAACTCGGCACTGCTAAAGAGAAGCAAATCATGTTGCGGACAAATTGGCATCCCTTAGCCACAATCTGACAGATCTTTATATATATAACACTTTTGATAGCCTACCTGGGCAGGTTAGAGGCTTGGTAAATACCGATAGATTGCAACTTCCTTCATTTACTACAAGAGTTGAACTTGGAAACCAAGTTTAGAAAGCTAAAAAGCTAACACCAAAAAATGGTTACATAGTGGCTATAAAGCTGAAAATTCAAGGTGGTTCATCTGTGAGGGTGCTTACTTTTTTCTTCTTCTTCTTTTTTTTTTTTTACTTTTTCGAAAAGAAAAAAAGAAGAAAAAAGCAAGCACCCTCACAGATGAACCACCTTGAATTTTCAGCTTTATAGCCACTATCACTATGTAACTATTTTTTGGTGTTAGCTTTTTAGCTTTCTAAACTTGGTTTCCAAGTTCAACTCTTGTAGTAAAAGGTCAGGCAAAGCCCCCCTTTTACAAAGATTATTCTCAAAGTGGCTACAAAATCGTGACTCAGTCTGAAGGTTAAAAAAAAATCCCGTGGAATTAAACACAACATCACATTTAAACTTTCTTTTCTTAAACATTAGGCAAAGTCAGCAAGGTCAATCAATTTGGGTATGGCAGGAATACTTAATATTTGCTCAAACCAATTGATAATCACATTTGGGCTGGATAACCTCAGGTAAAGTGCACTTGCCCAAAAAGAGACACCTCGAACTGGATAAGATCCCAACCACCCGATATCCGAGCACCCTATAGGACCATAAGGGAAACATACCAACCCTGTTTGTTATGGTTTTACTAAACGAAACTGCCAAATTATCGTAACATTTATCCCAAATGAATATCTCAGGTGTTCCCTCTGTAACCAAATAACAAGCATTATATAGCACAAATTCTAACCTTCCTTTGAATCTTCTAAGATATTTAGGTTTCGGAGAAGATTTAGAAGCAAAGCTCATCCAAATTGTTAAAATTCAGCTCCCTAGAGTTCTTATACGCCAAACAGGGGGAAAAACGATACTAATAAAATGAAACAAATTTTGAAATGAGAACTTCAAATCATCGTCTATCAAATATTACTAGCATACAAGGGCTAGCAAAACATACTGAAATGGGAACAGCAAATAATCAAATTTCCCAACGTCAACAAATACCTGCAATTTGACATAACAATATCAAGAAGTTCTTCAAGCTTCTCCTCCATGTATCCAAGCTGCATATTGTCAAACCACAATTTAGACATAGCTAACAATCTACTAAAATCAGTAAAATTCCTGATAGAGTGACTCAAGCCTTAGCCAATTTACCGTATCTAAAAGTTCATCGCAATGCTTCTTCATCACACTCTCAACCTTTGCACTATCATTTTTTAGTAGAAACTGCAAATCATTGTGGACCTGGAAAACAGGAAGGGGGTGATGAAGCATTCTTTGCAACTACATCAATTCAACATTCTAAGCCAAGGATAGTCAACATGTTAGTTCAAGGCGAATAATTAAAGCTTTATCCTCGTCCAGAAAAATTCCCACCTGAAAAGAGAAGAGAGAGAAAGAAGAAAAGAAGGGCGAGCCTAGAAACATGCACCAGAGAGAGAGAGAGAGAGATGGATCTTACATCCCAGTCTTCAGGAGCTGCTCCAACATTTGAACCCAATTCATTTTGGTCCATCTTTGCAAGGGATCTTTTAACCTGTTCTCCTTCAACTTTTTGAACATCGTCACTCGACATTCCTCGAGATGGCAATATATTCAGGTCCTCTCTTTCTGAATCCTGCATATCCTGTCAAACGTCTCAAAATACATTTCTATAAATAAAGCCAAAATATGGGGTGAGACCGATAGAGGCAGTGAATTGATTCACCCTAGCCGAATGAAGGAAGACCCTCAGGTCCGTTCGGGGGCAGTAAAAGATTCGCATGCCCCCACCACACAAGGAAAACGAAGTCTAACACAATACAAATTTTTGCCCAGCATTATAGCCGATGAAGTTCAGGTTGGGGTGTTTTTCCATCATGCTAACTTATCAACTGCTTTATTATCTTCCTTTCCCTACCCATATTATCCTACTTTTACCAGTAACTTGTAGCTGGATAGATGACGATTGATTATGCAAAAACGAATTTTAGCTTATCATTTAAATGATGATACACACTGGTTAAAAAAACTCAAACAAAACTAGGTATCTTATTATTTTTAATCTTAAAACAAATATTCGTTCGATAATGATAGTAACAGTGATAATGTTGTATCTAAATCAAACTAACGATTAGCAAGTCAAATTTTGAATTTAACTGTAATAGATGATCTTAAATCCTTTGAGAGCATAATTAGAAAAGCTAGAAATTCAATTGCTTATGTTAACTTTATTTCAAGCCCGAGAAAGGCCGAATTTAAATGTGTGGAAAACTTTCGCAATGTACTTTACAATTGGGTAAATGACATTATTAAATGTGTGGAGAACTTTCACATATGTACTTTAAAAATGTTAGTACTTACTATCCTACTACAAATACTATTTCAGATTATTTAACTTAAACTGCTGCTATACTTCATGAATAAAAGGAGAACCCTTTCGCAAATGCTAAGCAAAGAAAGTTAAAACTTGAAAAGCATTTTATTCCAATTACACTTATTTCTGAAGTTGCTTTATTAGATCCTTTTTTAAAATTAGGATAAGTTAAACAATTAAAAGATTTGGTTATCTACATTTGGATATAGAAATTGTTGTTGTCCCAAATGTGAAAACAACCAAGGCAATTTTACATGTAAGTATGCTATTGCAATGTTCGGTTATTATCGTGAATAAGTAGGGAATGTTAGACCAATGATTCCTACTCCAACTTCTTCTTCTAAGAATTTAGGTACTCTCGGTATTTGGAATATGTTTAAATCTCAATCAAGTTATGGTCCACTTTAACGAGCTTACTTTTCCTTAGCAACAGGATTTGGGAACGAAGGAAGATTGCAATGACATTTTGAAATGGTGGAAGAGAAAATGCTAAATATAATACTATTTCCACCACGGCTTGGGATGTGCTCAATGTTCATGTCTCAATTATGGCAGCTACAGTGCTTTTTAGCCAAGGAAAGATGCAACTTAGTGAACAACGAAACAGACTCACTGGACAAACTTTGGACAGCTTAATTAAGTCAAACTCAAACTTACAAGAAGAGTTTCAATATCCAAAGGTGAAGACATCTGTGCTTCCGTGGATTATGCGTAATTCTCTTAAGTAACAAAATTAGTCTTGTAAATTTTTAAGTTGCCCCCAGGGCCTAGCTCAAGTGGCAAAGGGTGGTGGATTTGTGTCTTAGGTCACAGGTTCAAGCCCCACACCATGTAAAGTAAAGCCTGGTATTTAAGTGGAGAAGGGTAGAGGGGCGGGCCCATTATCCACCGAGTTTCGAAGGCTGCGGTTGGTCCAAAAAGGATCGGCCCCAGACGGATTTCTCGGTCATCAAAAAAAAAATTGTAAATTGCATTTAAAATCTTAATATCTTTGAAATTTAATAAATTTTGAGGTACAATTTTTGCATTTTCGCATCCAATGCCTCAATATTCATATTTTACAAATTTTTAACTTCAAATTTAAATTTTAAAAATTACATACAACTCAAAAGAGAAAAAGATTATTATAATCATTGGCCCGTCAAAAGCCCAGTTTAAGCCCGGGTTCTGGCATGCCTAACCCATTTAATAAGAGGCCTGGGTGAACTGCTTTCCGCTTTACAAGAATAATCCAGCCCGTGATGGCATGTTTAAAGTGAGCTTGAATCAGCAGCCTACGGGCCCTCCACTTAATGGGCGAGGTTCAGTCTGAATCAACCAACTTAACATGTATAATTAAGCTTCAAATCACCGTCTCCCGGATATATTTGTTAAGGCAGTGTAAAGAAGTTCATGCCCCCAGATTACAAATTTTTACAGCTAAAAGAAATATTAATTTAAACCCCCCCCCCCCCCTGCTTCTTTTTACCAAAATTATAGAAAAGAAAAACAAATCTAGACAAATCTTCTTTTTTATAACCAAGAAATCTTCAAAAGTCAGCTGGTGCACGGCCCAAAACTTGGTGAATATTGGGCTTGCCTCTTTACCCTTCACTTAAATATCAGGCTCTAAGTTTGTGACAGAGTTCCAACTCCTGGCGTGCATCTAATTCACACATCATGTTTTGCACTCTTACCACTGAACCAAAGTCCTAGGAGCAAATCTCAACAAACTATTTTGGCCTTCATTTTATAAAAAGACACTTAAAATAGGAACGCTTAAGAGTCACTTTATTAAAGCAACTACCATATTCTCTACAAGTAACCTGTATTAAGCCTCAAATTTCTTTTAGAAATCTCACTCCTTATTTTTTCTTTTCTTTTTTCTTTTAACTTTCAAAGATCAAACTGAAGCTTCCAAAAGATAGCAAGTTCCAAATAAAACATGAAACACTTACTGTGAAAGGGGATGCTTTGAGCTTCTTCTGAGGACGGTTCCCTTGATCAGAGTCGGATACAGCACATGGTACAGCTAATAAACTTTCTTTATACCTTAGGCATGATCGCAACTGACATATGGAAAATATAGGATCCAGAATCTGCATTGACATATCCAGTGTGAAAATTATAGTATATAATATAATACAGACAATAACTAAGACAGACAGCTGGTTTTCAATCATTCTTTGCATTATCTTTGCTTAGAAATGGTCATAAAATTCATACAATAGCACATCTAACATTTATCTTCTGCAGTTGTTTTCATCTTTATGAGCAAGAGGGGAACCATAGACTGGAAAGCAATGACCACTTCCCACGACTATAATGGCACAGGCACACGGGCATAGGCACAGAATGACTTCTTACCACATAGACATGCCCACAATAAAAGGATCAATATATAATAAAACCATAAAAGTAACACCCCTTCCGGAAATAGCCAAGTATTGGGAGAACTTTGTTTGATGTGCAATGTAGGTGAAGGTAAAAGCGGGTAGTATGTACCTCGTCCACTTCCCGTGAAAGGGCAACAATACTTTGCCGAAGCAACAACTTCAATCTTTCCGTTCTAAAATCCGAAACATGAGATCCAAAACAATCAGAAAATAAGGAAGCAGACCCACCGGTGTACCTAAACTCCTTGGAGTTATAGGTACTCATACTACTATTCTTTTCTTCGTCAGCACTATTTACTTCTCCAGAATTCTCAAATATCTGATCTGAAAATGGCAGAAAATCTCCATCCTGAGAAAGTAACTCTGCCATCTCAGATGCAAAAAGCCCAAAGTAATCTGGTCCTTTTCTATTGCACTCAGTCGAAGCACCCCAACCCATTTAAGATACTTAATATCTTCAACGCCAACTTCTGAGATGAATTACTACTAGATCAGTCGTGGTAGCATTCGCCAAAGTATTACTGCAAAGCAAAAACAAAGCCAGGTTGACTGATAAGCTGCCAGAGTGCATAGAGGGAGCTCTTCTCCATCGAGAAGATAGAGTAGCCAACACAAATATAAACTAGGGACGTAATAAAATACTACCTGTTGAAAGTCAAGGGATTAGTGAAGTTATATGTGTCTTAATCCATAATATGTCTATATTCAACTTGGAGAATTATTGTTAACATTAAATCTTCCATATTAAATTTAAAATAGTTACTTACCTTATTGCATAGAAGATAGTTACTAATAAGAAAATGAATCTTGAGCCTAACTCAACCGCAAGCTAGCTCATGAGGAGAGGATTGTCCAAGATCATATATAAAGACCAAATAACCTACTCACAACTGACATGGGATCTTACATCCTCCCCCCCTCCCCCCCCTCTTCCCTGCCAGCCCAATACTGAATATTTGGAGCGTTGACAATATAATATGAGGGCCCAATATCGGGTACTCTGTGATAGATCTAGTTGTGATACCACTTGTGGTAATCAAAATAACCAAGTGTGATGTGGAAGCTATTAAAGCAAATCATGGACGATAATAAATAAGAAAATAAAGAGAAATATACCAAAAGAAACAAAACAATTTAACATGATCGGGTCAATTGAACTACATATAAGCAATTCACTAATATCAAAGAGAGTACAAAAATACCGAGACAATAATCCACCAAATTCACTCTCAAAAAGGTTTATGTTCTCCCCCTAAACAAACGCTCTTAAAGACTATATAGTGAATGATGTAAAGTGAGAAGGAAAGATCATAAATTTATAGAGTCCAAAACCTTTTCCTCCAGAAAAGAGGATTAGCCAAATATGAAAGATTTATAATTCCCTTTTAGTAAAACTAAAACTAATTATAGTAAATGTTTTTCTCTTACTTCAAAACAAGTAAAATTCAAATATGGTACAAAAAATCAACGCAAACACCTAACAATTCTCACCCTTATCTTGAATTTTCTGACAAAATATACTTGATTCGCTTTCTTCACATAATCTTCAACAGCTTGCCATGTTAAAAATAAGGTCAAAAATAGGTATGGGTTAAAAATATTTATATTTTTATTTTCAAAGATGCAACAACAAGAATGTCAAAATATGAGAAACTTATCTTCATATGGAGCAGTACAACAACAAGAACATCATCATACCAGTTTGATCCCACAACTGGGGTCTGGAGAGGATGGGGTGTACGTAGACCTTACCCTTACCTTGTGTGATGTAGAGAGGATGTTTCCGATAAATCCTCGACTCAAGAAAAGTAGTTTCAAAAGGTTTGAAAAATCTAAGAGCAAAAAAGCTAAGATTAAAATACTGAAGAAAAAAATATTGACAGCAAAAATAGTAAAGATGACCAAAGTAAAAGAAACAATAGTAGTAAAATTGAAAAAATAAGATAATGATAAAATAATAATAATAATAATAAATTTTTTTGATAAGGTAATAAATTTCATTAATAAAGGCGGAAACAAGCCCGTATACAAGTAGCATACACAAAAAGTAGAAAACTTTACAAGAGACATGGTTTTCTACGAATAACACCCAATCTTCCATGCAAATAATAACCTCATGGATGCACCGAAAATAAATAAGGGAAAAGAGGCTACTCCTCAAGCGAACAAGATTTATTTCTACTCCATCAAAGCTCTCCTATTCCTCTCGGTCCAAATAACTCACATGAGTGCCAATGGAGCAACATTCCATGCCACATGTCTTCTCCTCCGTCTTCTGAAGGCCCAACTAAACATGTGTCTTTCACCGAGCCCGAAATAACCCACTCAGTACCAAACCACCTAAAAATTTCCCCCACAAATAGGAAGCTATCCGGCAATGTAAGAGAAGGTGATTCAGATCTTCTCCCGATTCTTTGCACACGAAGCATCAACTAACACAAGTGATCTTCCTCTTCTTCAAATTCTCTGCCGTCAATCTCAACCCTCTTATAGCTAGCCAAGTGAAGAAACACACCTTTCTCGGCACCATGGAAATCCATACTGGATTATGTGGGAAGACCGGCTCCTCCCTATTTAGAAGCTTCTCATAGTACGACCTAACGGAAAAAATCCATTTTCCCCGGCACCCCATATCTATACATCATGTATATCTTGTGAAACTTTTTGATTGTGAAGCCGTCTGAGCAAGTTTTGAAATTCTTCCACCTCTCAGTCTTGCAAGTTCCTTGCAAGTTCCTTCTAAACCTGACATCCTATTGCACTTCTTCTCCTTGAAGACTCCACAACCGTTGGATAGGCATCTTCTTTTGACTTGAGATGTTATACATGTTCGGAAATGTGATTCTCATAGCGTTGTTCCCGCACCATATGTGCTCCCAAAAACTAATCTGCCTCCAATAATAACAACAACAATACTGATAAGGAGAAGAGAGAGCAGATAAAGTGCTCTAAAATAGGACCATGCTCCCCTTCAGAAAAGAGAAATCACTCGACTACCTACAGACCTTCTATCCTAATCCTCGATTTTGGCACTATTTTCCCATAGGGTTAGAACTTCTACGATTTTAGTAGAGACTCAAGTAGCTTCCATTTATCCGACAAATTCCCTTACGCCATCTGGTCCGCCAAAGTTTTTCTTCTTTTATTATACTCTTATGTCTTTTCGGTGATATTCTAGTTGCACTACTCTTTCTTTTCAATGACATCCCCAATGACACAACCCGATTTTCGATTAACCGACAATGTTGTCTCCTTCTATCACTATTCTATCATTGCTCAGCATTTTTCAAGTACTATGAGTAGACTAGTCCTAATCCTCCCTACATTTTCTTAAGTTATCGTCGCACCATCCTATTATGCCTTTTTTAAAAATTTATCCACAGTCAAAATACCTGAATTTGTGGCAGAAGCAATGGCTCGTCCAAGTTAGCATCAAGCGTTGGTTGAAGAGATGAGTGCCCCGCAGGATAATAACATTTAGGAGATAATTCCTTTACCACAGGAAAAAACAATAGTGGAATATCCTTTGATATTTACTGTCAAGATAGGACCGACATGCCAAGTTGATCGTCTTAAAGCTAGATTAGTGTTTGAGGGATATACTCAGATTTATGGAGTAGATTATGGTGATATATTTATCCGGTGGATAAGATTGCATTAATCTGCCTCTTTATCTTTGTGGCAGTTATATTGGCCTCTTTATTAATTGGAAATAAAACGTTTTCCTTCATGGTGAACTCATTGAGGATGTCTATATGGAGCAATCACCTGGGTTTGATGCTCAGAGAGAGTTAAGCAACCACCTTGTTTGTGGCAGCCATTCTCATTAGTCTCTTTATCAATTGAACATCAAAAATGTCTTCTTTCAAGGTGAACTCACTGAGAATGTTGCTCAAGGGAGTCAAGCTCTACTTGGTATGTCATCTAAGGCGTATATGATTTAAAACAATCTGTAAGATTTTGAAAGATTCAGCTCTGCTATCAAGTGAAGCATAAAAGAGGGAAAAGGCACTAAAGACTAGGTTTGTTCTTTGAGCATCATCGGAATCTATAATATTAGCTAACGTATTTAATACATACATATCTACCAAATTATACAAAGTCATGCACAAATCTTAACATTAATTTCTATCCACCTACAAACTATACAAAGTGATAACAATCTTAACACTCCCAACCATATACAACAAAAACTATACCTTAGTCCCATAAATGTAGGGGTCGATTATATATATCTTCACTTCTCCATATAAGCAAAGTTCATGTCATTATCATACCAAATAGAAAAAAGTCAAATATCAAAATAATAGCAATGGTAATTAATAATAATAATAATAACAACAACAACAATATTAAAAGTTCTCTAATAAGACAAAAATCCTACTTTCCATTAGTAGCTATCACTAAAATGGATCTTTTTCCTTCATTGTACCATATTTTAAGCTAAGTCTACATTGATCCAATAAACTGATGGTCTTTTTTATTTACGTGGTAACATTTCCCAAGAAAATCAAGGCAACTTCATTCCATAAGATTCAAGCTCTGTTTCGTTTCCTTTTAATACATTCATTCACCATAATTTCACACCTATGATCTGATGCCTTTGTAGGTCGACGTCAGACATGACCAAACCATCTCAAGCGATCTTCTATCATTCCTCAACATGTGTTATTTGCACCTTCTGGTGACTGTAGTCATTTTTAATCTTATCTAATATTTGTATGACACATCCATCTTAGCATTTACATCTTTGCAATACTCATTTTTGGATTTCTTGGACTTTAGCAGCCCAAGATTCATTGTCACATAACATTGTCGGTCTTATAATCATTTTGTAGAACTCACCATGCACTTTGGTAGGTTCTATCCAAGGTTGTAAAAAGCGAGCGCTTCCTCGCTTAAAGCGAGAAGTGAAGCGAGGCGAGGTATCTGGCGCTTCTGTTAGCTGAAGCGTAGCAGATTTACGAAAGTGCTCGCTTACCCTGAAAAAACAAGAAGCGATGAAGCGATGCGAAGCGTAAGAAGCAAGCGCTTCTCTTTATAACTGGGCTGCCAACGTAATTAATTAAAAAACTGCCTTTTTTTAAAACACCATCGAGCAGCAGCAACAGAGAAAGAAAGAGGCGACCTAGGGTTTAAGTTTTCTACACTTTTCAACTTCAAGATCATCAAGTTTGGTCACAGGTATGTGATTTTTTCCTCCTCCTCCTCTTTTTCTTTCACTGTTTCAAGTGTCCAAATAGCAGCGAAATGCTGGCGAAATGTTTTTTTCCTATCAGTTCTTCTTTCTCATTCTGCTCCTCTTTTTCTTCTTCATTTTCTTGCACTGTTTCAGTGATAAAAAGATTGAAATGCTGCCCATTTTTTCATTTCAGTTATACTGTCCTTTTTGAAATGCAGTATTTATTTTAACTTTTTTTTAAATTCCGCTTCACTGCAAAAAAGCGAGCGCTTCGCTTCTCGCTTTAAGCGAAAAGGGGCTTGTCGCTTTTCCTCGCTTCACGATCTTCACAACACTTGTTCTATCCCATAACACTTCGGTAGCACTTCTCAATTTCAAGCCTTCCGGTTTTAATTCTATGAGTAACACTCTCAACCAGATATCTTGTTCTGAAACTACACGATTAAGTCTGATCTTGTAGTTTTCTTGAAAATCAAAGAAAATATCCCTAAGAAGCCACCAATATAGAATTTAATTTCAATCTCTAAGATAGGAAAGAGATTGAATTGGAATATATTTCTTTTGCGCGTAGCTAGCCAAGAAAATAATAAAGAACATGGAGATTTGTTGGGAAAATAACTTCTCCATCACATTGACACCCGGCGAATAATTTTTCCAGCTCATCTTAATTGCATAACAATAACTAAAGCTGCTCAATTACACCAAATGATCAGGTTTAGAGCCTAGCTTAAGGAGCAAATACATGTCCATTAGATGATCCTTCCTTTCAAACCTCCATCTAAGACAGGAAAACTACAAACGTACTTCAAGAGAAGTTCTGTGTTACATCATAAATATAGGGAATGATGAAAATTAACTAATCCAATCCTAGATAGAGCATCAACATTGTTTAGTGTTTCCTTCTAAAATAGAACTTCTCGTTACCTTCCAAAGTAAGACATTTTTTTTATTTTCTTTTCTGAGTTGGTTTATACTTACTTCCCAAAAAAGGATATCTAGTTCCTTTTTCTTGGTAGATTTTCCACTATTTATATGGTTTCCTTGTATAACAAAGACTTCCATTTCCTTATAACAACTACTACTACTATTACTCCGCAGTCCCAAATAAGTTGGGATCGCCTATATGAATTCTCATTGACCATATTACTCTACAAATACAAGTAAAACAATTTTAAAATTTGCTATATATTTTTCAATGTATAAATACATGAAAGGTTAAACCACACCTAAAGCGTATGACTTAAAATTAAAAGTGCTAACGCCTAGACCATATTCTCTACTAATATGTATCGTCTATATAGATCTTTTCTTTCCATTGTTCTCTATCTTTCGCTAAGTCTGTACGGATCCCTAAAAACTATAGGTGTTTCGAGACAACTTCCTTTCATGTGATATAAGGTCTACCTCATCCTCTTTCAAGTTTTAACACTACCCTCATCATGGTTTCATACCTACTGATAGGTGCATCTAGAGGAACTACACCAAACCATCAAACAACCTTCTCTCATATAATCCTCGATTTGTGCTACTTGAACCTTCTTGCAGATGTGATCATTTCTAATCTTGTCTAATTTTGTATGATCACACATCCATTTTAGCATTCGCATCTCTACGACATTCATCTTGTGGATTTATTGAACTTTAGCAGCCTAACATTCACCCCTATATAATATTGCTAATAATATGTATTATGTAGAACTTATATAATAGTCTTGTAGCATTTCTCAATTTCAACCATCTGATCTTGATTACATGGTAACATCTTCACCTATCAATTTATTCTCCTGGAACAACAAGCCTAAGTGTTTGAAGTGTATGCATGTGATCTCATCTAATTTCACATCAATTTCACTGTCCTATGACTAAACTTGGAATGAACATACTCAATAATCTTGCTTCTTTTTTCTAAAACCTTTACTCTCTAGAGTGTTTCTCCATAATTCGAGCGTTTGATTGGCACCTTAAATGTTTTCGTTAATTAGCACACTATCATCGATAAATATCATACATCATGGAGCCTAATCATGTTAGCATCCATAACGGGGATAAAGAAGTGGCTCAATGCCCAGCCCAAGTGTAAACTCGATTATGGGAAACTCCTTTATATCTCCTACACACTAGTGACGTTCCTTTATGGAATTATAAATTAAATATGAATTCCTTTCTTCTCCAACACCCACCAAAGGACGTTTTTTGGTACTCCATCATATATTTTTCCTAGGTCAATGAACATCATGTGCAGATCCTTCTTCCTCTCACAATCGACTTCTCAATCTCCTTAAAAATACAAAACCCATGTTGAAGATCTTCCATAATTATAACAGTTTTGTGAGGTTGGAAACCTTATTGTTCAAGATTGAACTTCAGAATTACTTTCAAGCTTGAGTTCTTTACCATAAATCTTTTCTTCTTTAAATCCTAATACATTTGGTTCTTGCTTGCTTGTAAGATTTGTTGCTTTCATACTTCTTCTTCCTGCTCCGCCCTTGCTTTCCCACCACTTTGTGGGAGCTTCTCTTCTCACTTGAGAGATGCGATTTGAAAGAACAGAAGACGTTCTATCAGTTAATCACCATCCCTTCCTCTAATGAATAGATCCCATCTGCTAAGTAGGCTCAACTCCGAGGGTATAATGAAAATAAAAAAATTCTCTATTTGAAAGATAGTAGCATAGAAACTTTCAAAGGAATTAAACAATCTTAGGCCCAAACTGAATGTATATGAAAACAATTAACATATGAAATCAATCGTACCCAAAGAACGACAAGCAAGAACCAAAGATATAAAGATTTAAATAATAAAATAACTCTAGTAATCTAGGGCTTCCACTTCATATAAGAGATATCTAGAAGAACAAAGTATATAATCCAATTTGATGAAAACTAGAAACCCTAATTAATCCGATCAAACAAAAAAAGGCCACCACCAAATCCAGCATAAGGGAACAATAAAATAGACGAAAACAAAATGGCTACCTTAACTTGAAAAGATTAATCTTGAGTAATAAGTTGGAAAATCCTTCCTCTTCTACTCTCCGGGAGTTTCACTTTTTCCTTTCCCCAATGAAATGCGTATCGTACGGAAGCCGAACAGTTGCTTGATAAGTATCTGAATATAAAAGTTTAGTTGTTCGGGAAAAAAGGTCTCTTTTTGTTGTTAAATTCTAAAAGTAATTTGAAATTTGAAATGGAAAAATATGGAATTTTGAACAAATCTAAGGCATATTAGTTTAGGAGTCGGTTTCAAAAAATTTCACGTGCTTCCCCAATTTTTTGGTATGCGACTCTCAATAGGCAACATGGTCCTTAGTATAAGGGGGTTGGACTATTTTGTGGCATGTTTGGCCAATCTTCTAAAATATTTTTGTTTTAAAAAAGTACTTTTCAAAAAATTATTTTTTGAAGAGAAGCTACTTTTTCTGTTTTCTCCAAAATTGCTTTTGCTTATATTCAAAAGAACTTTTTTTTCTTCAAAAAGCTTGGCCAACTTTAATTTTGGCAAAAAAACACTTTTGACTTAAAAAACACTTTTGGCCAAAAAAGAAATTTGGCCAAACAGGCTATTGGTCTCTTATATATTACCCTTAATAAAAATATTCCTTATGATTTAAAAAGATAGTTGGCTCTTTTAGTCTTAAACACTAAAATTAACGGTAAAAATAATATTTTCGTTAAACTTAATAGGTTTCGCTCGCATGTATGGTGTAAAAATGCAAAATACAGGGTCCAAGATCCTTTTAAGAGCTTTCTCAAAAAATTTAGATTGACGGCTTCTTTAGAAAAGGATCTTGATCTCGAACTAATGTCAAGATTCTCGTCGAGAAATTAACAGGGGGTGGCATAGTAAATTGGGGAATGAAGAACAAAAGAACCATGACACCTTATTGAATTTGGACAAATCTAATACATCAATGCCTGGAAAACAACTTTGGTATCAACAAAATCAAAATACACGACAAGGACATAATGCTCGGCTATGAACATCGAGAGCAAAAACCCAGAAAAAGAACAGGAAATTCATATCCCCCCTTAAACCTCCCGATATTAACAATAAAACCAACTCATGTTACCAAAAAATCCAGGGATCATCATTCAAAGAAAAACTTCTTGCATACGAATCAATGGCAAACCCCAACACCCTCCACCTTGGCACCAACACAATCAATGGTTTGCTGGATAACTCATTCTCGCAATCTATGGAACCTATGGAAGATGTGACTCCAAGCCCCACCACCAGCAATACTACCAAAGGCATCAAGGAAAGCATTCTAATGGAAGACGATCGAAATTGCACGTACTCCCGTTGGAAACACTCCCTTATAATTAAACTGATTGGAAAACAAATTCAACATCAATACCTAAGAGAAAAAACTATCCAACTATGGAAACCAATAGAACCGTTTCCATTAATTGACCTAGGCCATGACTATTTTATTATCAAATTCACAAAGGAAGAAAATATAATACAAGCAACGGCTCATGGTTCAACAATGGATACTTCCTCTCTTTTAAACAACGGGAACCAAACTTTGTGGCTGAGAAAGCAAAACAAGTGCACACTACAGTTTGGGTACGCTTGCCCCAGTTACCTATGGAGTTCTGCGATGGCCTAGTACTCCGGAAAATTGGGGACTCCATCGGAAAACTCCTAAAAATAGATACATGTACCAGTGCTACTCAACGAGGTAGTTACGCGAGACTTTGTGTGGAACTACCTATGGATAACCCAATCCAATCTTGTATACTCATTGGATCCCACCTCCAATAGTTAACATATGAAGGGAACAATATTTTATGCAAGTATTGTGGTCGCCTAGGTCATGTACAAATCGCATGCCCTCATGGTAGAATCAATTCACCTTCTTTAGTAGAACTTACCAATGAGAAAAATAGCACCTCACCAGAAAACCTCTGGCATACGGTCACCTTCCCCAAGAGAAGACGCCAAAACAGACCTACATACATGGTGAAGCGGGCGTCCTCACAGGTGGAGCAACGACTACGACGCCTGCCAGATTCAAAAGTAGGTATAGATGTAAAAATATTTGATGCGGCGTCAGGTAAGTACCTAAAAACTCAAAAATTATTTTTTAAAGCAAAAAATCCTAATCCTACTAATGTTTCCGATTCCATTAACCAGACTATTGGTAATACCTCTAATTGTTCATCTTTTCAAAGCCACAAAGCCTTTAATTACAGTGACAACCGTTCAAATTCCTCCATAAATACTAGGCTACCTCCTACTTTAAAGGACATTAATTCCTCTCCTACATTAATGGACAATAAATCCATTCCCATCTCAAATAAATTCTATTCCTTAATAATGATGATTTTAATTTCCTTGATTCTAGGATGCAAACGGATGGGCAGAGAGACAAACATTCTCTCTCGGACCCTTCGTTAACTCCAATATTGGCACTCTCTTCCCAAAATTCTCCACCCTCTCCTAGGTAGCCATGTGGCAGAGATGTTGCATGCAACACTCAAAACCCTAGCCTACTTATTAGCCCCAAGGACAACTAATCCGCCTGCTAAGGTGTAACGATCCGGCCGGTTGTTTTGAGAGTTATAGTCATGTTCTCCCATTTACTATTCATTTTATATTTTATAGTTGTTATGTGACTTGTCGGGATAGTCGGTTCGGGTTTGGAGGGGTTTCAGAATGAATTGAGACACTTAGTCTCAAAGTTGGAAGCTTAAGTTGAAAAGGATGACTGGATGTTGACTTATGTATAAATGACATTTTTTATGGTTCCGTTAGCTCCATTGGGTGATTTTGGACTTAGGTGCGTGTCCGGATTGTGATTTGGAGGTCCATAGTTGAATTAGGCTTGAAATGGTGAAAGTTGGAAATTTAGAAGTTTGACCGAGAGTGGACTTTGTGTATACCGGGCTCGGATCGGAGTTCCTGGAGTTAGACTAGGTCCGTGGTGTCATTTGTAACTTGTGTGCAAAATTTGGGGTAAATCTGACGTGATTTGATAGGTTTTGGCGTCGTTTGTAGAAATTAAAATTTCCTTTGTTCAATAATCTTGAATTGAGGTGTGATTTGTGTTTTTTATTTTTTATGTGATTTGAGGGCTCGACTAAGTTCGTATGATATTTTGGGACTTGATGGTATGTTTGGTTGAGGTTATGGGGGCCTCGGGTGAGTTTCAGATGGTTTAAGAATCGATTTTTGGACTTGAAAGACTGCTGAAGAATATGCCGGTGTCCAGTCCTGGTTTCCTTCTTCGCGTTAGCGATGGGAGTACCGCATTCGCGAAGGGTAGTTGAAGGTAGGTGAAGAATTGTTCTTCACGTTCGCGAAAGGGGAGCCGCGCTCGCGAAGAACTGGGTAGGTGATGCATCGCGAACGCCTGAAGTGGGTCACGTTCGCGAAGAGGAAGAAGAGGCAACTGGGACCCCATGTATTTGGTCTTCACGTTCACGAAATAGGGATCGCGTTCGCGAAGCTAGGGGGTCAGATAGGCATCGCATTCGCGAGTGGAGCCTTATGTTCGCATAGAAGGCTTTGGGGCAGCAAATGTAATTTTGCTACGCGAACGCGAGAGCAGGACCGCGCTCACGAATAAGAAGGTCATTGGGCATATTTAAATGTTCAAAAATGAGGGTTTGAGTTCATAACACAAAATTAATTTTGGGAGCTCGGTGGGAAACGATTCTTAGGGAGATTTTCAAGTGGGTTATTGGGGTAAGTGATTCTTACCTAGTTTTGGTTAATTTCCATGATTATGTCTTTCATTTCATCATTAAAGTAGTGATTTGGGATGGAAAAATTGGAGGAAATGGAGAAAAATTCTTAGGCCAAATTTTGAGGTTTTGATCAAGAGTTTGGTGTCGGATTTGAGTAATTTTGGTATGGGTGGACTCGTGGTTGCATTGGTGTTCGGATTTTGTGACTTTTATCCGATTCCGAGACGTGGGCCGGAGGGGACAACTTTTGAGTTGACTTTTGGCTTTTGATTAAGAGCTTAGTATTTTATTATGGAGTTGAATCCTTTAGCTCGTGTTTATTGTATCGAATTGTTTGTGACTAGATTCGAGGCATTCGGAGGCCGTTTCGGGAGGCAAAGGTGTGTTGGGGTAGAAATTTGCATGGTTTGAGGTAAGTAATAGTTCTAAATTTGGTCCTGAGGGTATGAAACCCCGTATTATGTGCCGTGTGTTTGGTTTTGAGGTGACGCACATGCTAGGTGACCGGAGGAATTGTGACTTGGTCAAATTCCATGGAACTGTATAGTTGGAGAATCTGTTGTTATCTGTACATTTTCCATGTGTTATAGAAATTGAACTGCAATCATGTTAGAAATCATGTTTAGACTATATGTTGGCATGTAGGGACCCACAGAGGTCGTGTACATGTTGATTATCTGCTAAATTGTTGTTTTGTACTTAGTCACTGTTTTCTTGCATATTATACCTTAGTCTTTGTGAGCATTTGATTTTTGTCCTATTAGAAATACTCCTACAAAATTAAAGAAAATAGATCTTGCCAAATGGTTTTTCAATTTTATAGGATTTTATAGTATTTTCATTAATTGTTTGCATTTTGTGCACGTTTAATTCTATTAAAATCATGAAAAAAAAGTCAAAAATACCATGCATTGCACATTACATTTTATGTTCCTATTAATTGTTTAATTAATTCATTATTAAAATAAAAATCACAAAAAAATATCATTCATTTTACATTTTTAGCCTTTAATGCTAAATTAGTAATTTTTTCTTCTTTAATCTAGGATCAACTAATTTTGTAAATGTTATAATTAGATAGATAATTATCTTAATTTTGCAAATTATATTAATTTAGGATTTTAATTAATTAAAGAAAAAGAAAAAGAAAACAAACCAAAAAAGAAATTGGAAAAGATTTGGTCTTGATATATTGGGCCCAATTTTAATTAGCTCAAATTCAATTCCCTTTACCCGTTCAAACCCAGCCCAATTCCCTATACCCGGTCCAGTCCCCCATACCCCAAAACGACGATGTTTACCCTCCCCTCTAATCCCAACCGTTGGATCATCTTGATCCAACGGCTCGCAACTACCCGTCCTTTAGCTATAAAACTGTCCGAACCCCTTGAAACCCAAGAGACCCCCCCTTTCACTTCCGTCTTCATCTCTCTAAACATATAACCCTAGCCGCCCTGTAACCCCTCGCCGGCTCCGCCTTTCTCTGCCGCCTGAAAATCGTCTTACGGCGGCGGAGTACCTTCAAGTCGCCTCAAATTCACACCATGTAACCCTGAGCCCCTCCCAAACACTAATCCCTC